TTGCCGGATAAAATAATTTATTTGGATTAGTAATTTATAGCTTTCGTTTCTTAAAAAAAAAAAAAAAAACTGATTAATAAATCTCCTAAAAGAGAAAGTAAACCAAGACGAAAAAATTGATACAAAAAAATCAAAAAGAGAAGAAAAAGTAAAATTTTAAAACCCGAAAGTTTCAAAGAGATTATGAAATCAGAGGATCAATATCAATTGACTGTACCTTCACATGTTACACCTAAATCTTGCAATATGATTGGCTGTTGCACCGAATTTTTCGGGATATTCATGGAGTAATCCTTCGTTTGGTTTTTCATGTTATATGAAGTTATAGGTACAGTTTAGAAAAGTTATAACATATAAATACACTCCTTTCAACAATTTTTTTTTTTCATCAATTTGTCATATAATTATGAAAAATATCTGTTTTTAATAAATTTATTGATTATTTTTATATTTCATTCGACGGTTCATGCACAACGCGAAGCGTTGGCAAAGTTATGGGAGTTCAAGATGACGATCTACCCAGGCTATTAAACATTGAAAAAAGTCCGAGAATGGTTGGTGGAATTGTAAGAAAACATCTGGATAATTCAGATTTTGGAGGAAGTTGGATAGATGTAAAGAAGGATAAAATATTTATCAATGCAGTAGATCCTAGTAAAAGTGAAGAAATAAAATCCATACCTGAGATAAAACCATATGTAAGATTTTTAGAAATTGAAATAGCACCTAATTCTCTAGCTAATTTGAGTTCATCGTTTGAACAAATAATTCAATTAGCCAAAAACAAGAAAGCAGTTGATGTTTATCTTTACGTTAATATAAGTATAAATAATGTCGTTGTACATTTAGAAAAAGTGAATATGATCCAAAAAATCAAGAGTTTATAAATGCTATCAGACAATTTGAGCTGAGATTTATTTATCAACCTCCTGAACAACATACTACAAAACGTCAGAATGGAGTTCGCGTAAGTGCTATAGGTAAAACGTATTATTGTGGAGATGGTGTTTATAGAAAAGCTGGACAGTATCTATGTTCAGTGGGATTTTTTGAAAGAGATAAAAAAGATCCAAATCCATTAAAACTTTATATTGTGACTGCAGGGCATTGTCATAATCCTGATAAATTGGGTTCAAATCTTTTTTATTAGTGTCCATGGAATTCAACAGCCAAGAGTATAGTCAGACGAATGGTAAAATATAGTGTAGAAAATTATGATTATGGCTTAATCGAATACAAATCTTTCACTATCGAACCAAGACCGCTTATAAAAAATTCAGAATCTGAACAATATAAGGCATTACCTATACATGGTACTATATCAGTATCTAGTAATGGTGCACATTTATGTAAAGCTGGTCACGAAACACATGTTACTTGTAGGTATGTACTGTACATGCATTTGATGGGATTTTTATAGATTCTGAGAGCTTTGCAACCGAATTGATCATCACAGATATAGTAGCCGGCCATGGTGATAGTGGAGGAGCCGCATATTATTATCGAGACAATTTATACTCGGTGAGCCTAAATGGTATTCTCACTGGAAGTAACAAGGGCATTGCCACAATTTTACCATTAGAAATAATTCTCGAGGATGCTGAAATTGTAATGTTGTAAATCGTAGTGTTGTAATCGTAGTGTTGTGATTGTTGTGTTAGTGGCATATCTGTGCTACTAAATTTACTTCTGTGAATCTATGTTTATGGCTTAGATAGATTTTTTAATTTCTAATTGCGAATTATTAATTTTATTAAGCATGACATGAAAAACAATGTAACTTCAAATTTTCCATGGTTTTTTTATGACTTAGATTTTCGACGAGATTTTTAATCAGTTTTTTTTTTTTTTTTTAAGAAACGAAAGCTATAAATTACTAATCCAAATAAATTATTTTATCCGGCAATGTCTTATGATCATAGATTTATTTCTTTTTGTTAATTATTTGTGATCATGTCGTAATCAAATAATCAATGACGACTTGAAAATCATAATCTTGAATTGCAGGAAAACACAATTATTTACCTGCATTGATAAATACGTATCAAATGATTGACTGGCATGTGCCGCAGGTAAAATAAATTATCTATGAAAAGACCCTTGTTTGTCTACAAAATAAACTTATTTTGTCTGTAAAATAAACATAATGAGGGGTTTCAGAATTAAAAAAAAAAATAGCGCATTTCGAAAATAAGTAGGAGCTTAAAAAATCTTATTTGTATATCAAAATTTTGAAATCGGAAAATGAAATGGGAGTGTTTAAAGATTCCCATTTACAGCTGTTTTCATAAATTCTGGAACACCTGATAAAAATTTGCCGAATGATTTCGGTGTCTATTTTTACATGTAAAATAATTTTATCATTACAAGATAGATGTGCGATGCTGTCGCACTAAAATCAGGAGACAACGATATTTATAATTAGGGTTCCAAACCGATTTGAAAATCCCCAACCGTGACCCGTCGGGTAAAAACCGGTTGATAACCGATTACCCGAAACTAAAACCGATTATCCGATTAAAGACGGATCACCCGGGTAACCCTAATCGGATGATCCGGATAGCCGAAGATATCGTTGCATATAGGAAGACTTTTATTTGTTATAAACGATATATTGTATATACAGTAGTAATATTAACTAAAAAAAACCTTGAGTTTATTCGTACGTATTAGAAATAGGCTATATAAAATTATAATACAATAAATGAAATTTTTTCATCAGACGCCAAACGACAGAACCATAATCCCTGTAATACACAATAAACCTACTATCTTAATCCACGAATGAATGAAGTAGAACCTATTTATTACTTTAAAAAAAAATAATATAATAAACATGTTTTTTATTGCGTTCTTAAATAATATTAAAAAACCTCAAATCTAAACTTATTAATTTCAAGATCCCGAAATATAAAATTACTTACCAAACGTTTCTTCATATCCAAGTAAAGCCTCGAGTGTTTGTAATCTGTTTTAATTATATTTGCTACGAAGTTATTATTACTTCTAGGCTTTTTTTCAAACCAATTAACTAATTAACTTACTTTTTGTAAGTTAATTAGGAACTCAAACGCTTATATTTATTGTACATTACCATTTTCCTAGCTAACAATCGTCTCTGAGTGAAGTATACCTGGGTAAAAATGAATCCCATAGATACATAAGATACTTAAAGCTTCGTTTGTGAAGAATCTTCTGTAGTATTATAAACGGGGGTTACATTTTTTAAAAAAAAAATTTACTATGTTAGGGGTAAAAGTACTCTAAACTGTATAAATTCAATTGTATAAAATTGACCAAACACGAGAAAGTCTTCTATATTATCATTGCATGTTTTCAATAAAAGTATTCAGATGACCGTTTTTTAATGGGTGGCCGTTTATCAAACGGGTGACCCGTTTATGTTATATTAAACCGGTTGGTATATTTAAGCCGGTTTGTCAAAACTATGATCCGGTTGACTTTTTTTTCGATTCGGTTGATCGGTTGGACGGTTATCCGGATTGGATGTTGGAACTCTATTTATAATTATATATGCTAATTCTTACATTATATCATAAAGCTTTTGATTAGATTTAGCATTACGACCTAATCTTGAAATTTTATTCATTTATTTTTTATAATATAGAGAACTACTTAGTTTGTAAATCGTGTAGAGCTAATTTTAGAAAATATGTAGATGCAGACTTATTTACGTCATTAGTTACGGCTCAATTGCGGTTTATTTTATAAACCGATTTTTCATATAGGACATAACTAGGTAATGTCATAAGTCTGCATCTATGATTACGACCTAATCTTGAAAATTTATTCATTTATTTTGTTACAATATAGAGAACTGACTTAGTTTGTAAATCGTGTAGAGCAATTTTAGAAAATATGTAGATCGCTAAATCGATATGAATAAATTGAACCTAAATGAAAAGGTTAGTATTGTAACTAAAAAGTTGCATATATAGGTTGTCTGCAATCCTGTTCCAACTAATAATTAAATATGATTAGCGTAATACCAATTATTGATAATAAAATATTCTGATTAAATATAAAATGGAAACTTTATACTTTTTTAATAAAGTAAAACTCAACACATTAAAAACTAAGAAAATGATTCTATGTTACAAACACAAAATTCAGAATTTGTTAACACATGCATCGGTATATTATAGCTCCGCTTTCGGACAACCTTATAAAAAAGATCGTGTGAAATTTGTACGTATAAGATTCGTGTTGAATAGACAGAATGGCATTTTTTTAGACATTTTTCACCCTTTTTGTAGGGCAAGTCAATTAACAACAAGAAAGTAGATCATTATGTCATGAGAATCGATCAAGAAAGTAGATCATTATGTGAGAATCAATCAAGTAGATCATTGTCATGAGAATCATTCAAGTTGACGGTAGGTCAACAGATCGAAAAGACTGCTAAGCAGTGATGCACTAGCATGCGACGATCACATGGTGATCCCGGTTCCAACAAGAGAATCCGGTATATTAATATGCAAGGGGGAAGATAAGTATAATTTAACGAAGTCACTAATTTAGGAGCTTATAGTGCGAATACTAATATAACCAAATTTAGCAGAGAACGTATGACAATATCATACATATATAAAACGGAAGAGCGGCACGACAGCAACCCTTTCAAGAGACAAATCAATTTCGCATCAGAATACAAGAGCTGATATGCGATATACCAAACATGTCAGATTGGGTTAAAATCGCTATTGAACAAAAATACATAAAATCATTTAAGTATAATTCTTTTCAGGATTGGGAAAAAATTGGTAGAGGAGGGTTTGACACTATATATGATGTTTTTCTCAAGAGATGTTGAAAAATTATAGCTTTAAAGAGTTTAGATTGCAATGATAATGATATTTCATGAGATATATTTATCAAAGAAATTAAGAATCTTTCAATGGTTGCACATCATGATAATATAGTACGATTCTTTGGAATCACACAAGCTATATGGTTCTTCAATCCGCTAACAATGGCGACCTTCGTAGCTATTTAAGAAATCATTTTTCAGAATTAGATTGGGAAACTAAAATTAGTGGGATGAATTGTTTACACAATGCAAATATTGTTTGTCGTGATCTTCACGATAAGAATATATTAGTGCACGATGAATATCTCGAAGAATCTTCATATAATCGGGATAAAGCTTCTGATATTTATAGTCTAGGTGTACTTTTCTGGGAGTTATCAAGTGGTTTACCTCCTTTTAGAAATAAGTCTAATTCAGAAATAACTTACAAGTAGTTAAGGGAAACGAGAAACACCTATTAAAGGGACACCGATTGAATTCATGATTATTTATTGCGAAGCTTGAATAACGATCCAAATTTACGTTCTGAACAACGTTTTAA